GTGTGTGTGTGTGTGTGTGTGTGTGTGTGTGTGTGTGTGTGTGTGTGTGCGCGCGCGCGCATGTGTAAATATATTATATATAAAAAACAAACAAACAAACCACACACACTACTAATATAAGACCCATGATACTTAGGGCTTGTCTTCACTACCGGGGAGATAGATGATTCTGCAATTGATGCAACGGGGGTCAATTTAGCAGGTCTAGTGAAGTTCCGCTAAATCGACGCCAGAGCTCTCTCCGGTTGACTCCATACTCCAACTCCCCAAGAAGAGTAAGGTAAGTCGACAGGAGAGCCTCTCCCATTGACACAGCACAGTGAAGACACCACGGTAAGTCAACCTAAGCTACGTCGACTCCGGTTACGTTATTCATATAGCTGGAATAGTGTAACTTAGGTCAACTTACCCCGGTAGTTTAGTCAAAACCTTAGGCTCTAAAACCACTGTAGTTTAAGCCCCATTATACGTAGCTCCCCATGCCATTCCCAGTGCCGAGCTGTCAATAATGCAGCATACCTAAAAGGGCACCGTCAACTTGTAATAGTCTAATTTTTTAAAAAAAGAGTTAAAGTAGTTTAAGGTACGACACCTATCTCCAAGTCCTGCTCCCCATTTTTGTGGTTTTATAGAGATGACTTGTGTGTGAAACACCCACACAAACTGACCATACAGGGGAGAGAATACACAAGTAAGCAAACTGGAAAAAATAGAAAAAAATTCCCTTCTAGTCTTTGTATTACTCCCAGGCCTAAATTCCACTCACCACATGGGCACAATCATCTGCCGCATGACTCCACCTAGTCCTTAGGTGCTAGCTCTTGTAACAGAGGTAGGTAACAAAATTCATATAGGAGTGAAGTTTTTTAAATTAAGCATCCTTTTAAGATGAGCTATCATGGGAAAACAGTGTGAATGCTCATATTGCATGCAAATTTATTGCTCTTTATGTTTATGCTTTAATTCAGTTTTAAGCCATATATTGTTAAATTGGAAGAGCGAACAGATTTATTCCATGTGAAAATATGACAATTCATAAAATTGGTGGTGATCTTCTTTCAAAATAGTTTGTTCTTTATTTAGCTAACCCTCATAATCGGTTCTGTTATTTAAAGATACTTTTACAACATTTGAGGAAACAAAGCAGAATGTTCTTCAAACAGAAACTATTATCCTGAATAAACATTTAAATATTTTGGAATTAAGCTGAAGGGGACTGTGGTGAAGCATTAAGTTTTTGAGAAGGACCACAGAAAACAAACTGAGGAGTTAGGAGAATACACTATGTGCCTGATGGATATGAACTGCCCAAACAGGATAAGGACATCTGAGATGTGCTGGCATTAAATGCAAGCAACATCACACTGAAGTCTAGAAACTGAAGTCTTTAATGCAACCCTTAACAATGATCTTGCAACCATTTCACCATATCAGAGCAACAATTTGGACTGAAGGGAAGTTCTAGATGATAGGGCTTGTTAAGGGATATTTACTGCCTTTTACTGCTGAACACTTAAGAGCTATGGACCAGATCCTCAGCTGCTGGAAATCAGCATAGTTCCAGTCAATGAATTACACCAATGGAGCTGCACCAGAGGAAACCAGTCAAGGATAAGGCCTTATATCTATACTTAGCTGAACATTGCACTCATGTGATTAACAGTTAAATCATTTTTATGTTTAATTGAATTCAATTCTAATAAGTAGGTGCCAGCCTGACAACCCTGAAGAATGAAGTCCTATTGAACACAAACTGGTACAAAAGGATCCTACATGATCACTCTTCCCTAGTCTGCTTCAGTTGTGACTTGGACCAAATCTAAGGGTGAAGAGGGAATCCTTATTGAACTATCTGCTAAGCCTGCTAACAAAAGCATCTAATGTAAAGGTGGTTTTTTTAATTATGTGAACAGGGATATTGTAGAAACTGGGCCAATACCAACAATTTATTTCAGATAGGCCAAACATCCTTCAGTTCTAAACCCTTTTGGTCACCAATCTGGTTCACCATTCTGGTCTCAGTTATTCAAAAGGTATCAAAATATTGACTTTAATCTCTCCTTAAAATTTAGGTGTCCTTACTGCCTTCCATTGTTTAATATTTTAAGAAGAGTTTTTTTAAAAAGTCACTTACCAGTTTTGTAATGTCATTCACATCATCTGTCACTGGATTCCCACAGGGACTTTGGGCTTTGACAAGAGGATTAAGTAGGAGCAGTTGAAGATAAAAGCAAGTGATAATCCAAGTCTATATAAAAAGAGAATATTTATCTGATAAACATCTTCAAAATCATACCGAATACAGACAGTAACATGTGAAAAACAAGATGATTTCAAAACATTGCTTTGGCTATAAAGATGGGAAGAAAAGACTACTTGCCTCATTGTTCATACTTTAAAAAAAAAAAAAAAACAAGGATGACAGTAGCTCTTTATGGTAGTACAGTGGCTTTCGTGCTTCAAGAACACACACGAACAAAAACTTTGATTGTGATAGTCAACAGTTTAACACAATTAGCAGCATAATCAGGTTATTGCTGACTAGTCAGATCTTTTCATTAAATTTCATCCCGGATCATTAAAATGTACAGTATATTCCATTCCAACAGATACATTCCAGTAATAACTAGCCATAGAACTGAAATCTCTGGAAAACAACACTCCTTATGGAAGTCAAAATGCAGCAAAACATAATACACCTTCAAATATATTCAATAATTACATATATGTTCATCTAAAGTGCAGAAAATATGGATAATACTAACCAGTTTAAAAAAGGAAAAAACTATGAACACGTTAACTGAGAAGTTAGCATTTAGCATGGAAAAATAGACAAAAATTATTGCTCTAAGTGCCATAAACCGATTTTTGTGCAACAGGATCTTGAACAGATTCTTGTGTGATAAAATCAAGTGTTTTGGCAATAGCGGCTTTCATACGTGAAGATTAGTTGCAACATCTTCAACAGGCCAGTAAACAACCTGGATACTAAACCTAGTATAGAGTCAGCCAGAGTTTACTTTATTCGCCGTCCACATGGCAGGGGTCATATGAAATACACTTAAATGATTAGAATTTTTCCAGGAAGGATACACTTAGAAAGTACTAATGGGAAAATTGTTTCTTAGCCATCAGATCTTTCTTTTGCACAGCTTGATTCTCCAGGCAAACTTATTCAACATTTATATGCAGCTGCTAGGAGGAATGGTTGGACTTCATGGACTCAAATAACACTGATAATGCCAGTACCATTCAAATAACTGTCTGCAATCTGCAGATGGATGAGGAGGGGCAGATTGATGTTAAACCCTAGCAAGACAAAAGGTGACAGACTGGCAGAAGGAAACACTCTGAAAAGCTTACATCCATGGTATAGACTCCACTAGTTGGAGACACAATCATACCACATCAAGTCAACATGCAGCACAGGAGTACTTCTGGACCCCTCACCAACACTGAGCTCTCATGCAGCAGTGTCCATACAATACTCTATCCTCTCCAGTTGGCTAGAAGTCTGTCACAGCAAGGCAGAGGATGACCTGGCTTCAGTAGTACATGTCTTTGTTCCCTCCCATCTGTAATACATCAATGCAGTATACCTAGTGTGACAAAGTTCCTCCTCTATCTTGGTGGGTCCTGCGCTTATTGGCGGATTTTTCTTGCCAGAGATTCACCATGTGGGTTGGGAAACAGCCCAGAGACCTTCCCCTCTGGAAGAACCCACAGTCCAGGTCAATTGGGA